TGAGAAATATTGAAGGGGCAATGAATTGCTGGGAAATATGAATTAACTGCAACACTGGAATCATACATAATGCATATTAACATTTCGCATGTGCAAGTATGGTTAAGTCCCACATTAATTCATTCCTCTGTGGAGAGGGAAAGAGGAAGGCATTCTGGGAGATACATACAAGGAAAATGAACAGGAACATTTATCAAAGCACAGAGGGTTGCTTGAAGAAGCACTAGCATACAATATTGTTCACTCAAGTCAGCACAGTTTGAGCCCATTAGTCAGATTCATTATAGGAGCAAACAGAAAACTGTATATTGACCATAGAATTTTCCAGGACTTTTCCAGGATCTTTAGTCATTTTTGACTATGGAATAACAAATTGTGATTCAGTCCAATTCAGCATCAAGTACACAAAACATTTGATAGATTCATTACAGCACTTGTAGAAAAGCGTATATTAACGTCCAAAAGTTTGGGATTTTTTTAATCTCTTTTGCTAACAATGCCTGTCTTTATTTGATCGAAAATATATAAAAAAATAACCGTTTTCTCTTTTAACATTTAAATTTTTTTTTTATATTTGTCAGGAATTTTGAATTAATAGAAAGTGAAAAAAAAAAAAAAAAAAAAAAAAAACCAGAAAGGGGGCAAAAACCTTTTCACGGCACTGTATATATATATATATATATATACAGTATATATAAGAAGAGATGCATTCCAGTTTATTCCAAATCTATTAAATTAACAGATCCGGGGAAAAAGGTAAAAAAAAAAAATTGTATGTTCTATGTAATTGCACCATTTTTACACATAAATTAAATCAAGATAGAATATTTACAAAAGTAAAGTCATTTGCCTTTTTTGTGTGTGTGTGGTAGAACTGAATCACCACTGAAGCTCAATAAGTGAAATACCACCAATGAGCACATCACCATTCATAAATGCTAATGACTGTTGCAGGCCAGTGATAAAAACATCTGCCTACATGATTACGTGAATAAAGCGTGAGAACGTTATTTCTAGTTCAATCACTGCCAATTTGGACTGAGTTCACTGTTCACATTTCCTGTGCATTTATAACTGTGGTTACCCTCATTTACGAGACTGATTATAACTGCTGGGTCTATGGAGGCAGCACTTTATCATAGCCCCTCAAAACGCTCCCGGTGTGAAACCTGTTCAAAATGTAGGCAACTTAATTATGCTGCCTACTAAGATACCACATTTTAGCCTAATTCTAAGGCATCTTTTGCGGGGAAGGAAATTCAAGAACGCACTGCAATGAGTTCATGAAAAAACGAATCCAATCCGATTCTCCAATCTTGATCATGCATTATGTATGTAGGCCCCAAATAAAGCGGATTGTTAAATTCTTACACGTACAACCTTTCCTCAATCAGCGAGGTAAAGATGGGCCAATTTGACCAGTGAGTCAGTGTCCAGGGGCCACATTAAAATCTCTCTCCTTTCCACTGTCATCTCAATCAGAGATTTGTTCTTCACTAGGAGAATTAGATGGTTCATAACAAACAACCGCAGGATACACACACACACATAAACATTCATAAACACACACGCAGAGACAAGCACTACAATTAGACTCAGGTACTGAGACAAACACACACACACTCACTCACTCACTCACTCACTCAGAGAGCAGATGCAATTACACAGGCAGGGGAAATGAGAGGTGATACACTGTTAGAGAGGTAGAGGCTGATAATGGACTAGATGAGTGCTGTGTGTGTGTGTACGGCCAGCTAGAGCCATTAACCTCTCATACTAATAACATACTTTAATGGCAACTTTGCTAGTTTGTTTTTTACCTTAACATGATTAAATACAAAGCTCAACACTTGATGATGGTATTGGGGGAAAAGGCACGAGACATAACTTGTTTTTTGTTATTTAAAACAAAGACACATTTCTAAAGTGAACTGTCAGGCTTCCTCTGCTTAAAAACACTATGAACATAACTAGGTGGCACAGAAGTTTTTTCAGCACGCTGGTATGTGGGGTTCACAGGTTTTCTTGATGGGTACTAGATGGCTATTACTGGCCCAAGTCAAAAGAATCCATGTTAATTTAATTTAAGTTAATTTAATATTTTAATTTACTTTAATTTATATATTAATGATTTTTAACTTTTTAAACAGTAAAAACTTTAAACAGATTTTTTTGTAACAATGTAAAATTTTGTATTATTTAAAAAATATTGCCATATTATATATAATTTATAAAATATATAAGTGATCTAATATAAAATATATTTACATTGAAAATATTATTTACATATAAGATTTCTATTAAAGGTTCAATTAAATTAATAGTTAGCTACTTTCATGTGACAAAAACTTTTACAATGTTTTAAAAAAAATCTGTCACACGAAAGTATCGGATTCTTGATATATATGTGTTTATAAAAATTTGTAGCAGAGTTTTTACTGTCACTTTTGGTCAATTTAATGAATCCTTGCTGAAGTATTAATTTCTTACTGTAAAAATCTCTCTCTCTACACACACACACACAAATATAATTATACTCCCACTTTTATTTACATCAAGGTTTCCCAAACTGGGGTTCATGAAGAAACTGCAGGGGGTTTCTGAGTTTAATGAAAAGTTATAATAATAATAATAATAATAATACTTTAATAATAATAATTAATTAAATCAGAAAAAAGTCAAATTAAAATACATAATTTTAAAATAAGTCATAATTCAAGTGATAATTCAAATAAAATTAATACGTCAGTAGGTGATGCAATATTGAAATGTAGAGAAAGCACTTAAAATGGAAAAAAAATCAGATTTTTGTAAAGCCATTGGTCAAATGATTATTATTATTATTCATTACCTGACTAGTAAGTGGTCTTTGTGTGAATGTCCACAAAGGTGGAAGACTTTCTAAAATATGGTATTCTATTTTAAAAATGAAAATTTAAAAGATGAAAAATAAGAATGAGGGGGAATAAATAAATTCTCAATTATTTATTGCTATTGTTCAAATAATATGTAATAATGCAATCAATAAAAAAAGTAACTGTAGCCCGATTATGAGTATTTTGAAATGCAATATAACCTAATTATAAGTATGGAATCCAGATTACATGTAATCAGTTACTACGCAGCACTGTGTCCAATATGCTAATACAATCATGTATTCAAAGTCATTTGAGGTTCAGTGTGAAATAAAAAGCCAAAAACCGGTCCTTTAAGACCTCACTGGTTCTTGGTGAATTCTTATACAATAGCATACTTGACTCAGCACTATGATGACAAATGTTATGGAGCTCGTGTGCTACACTATCATTAGCTACACCAGTAATTTTCCACAGTTCCATTTGTATTCAATTGGCCCTCGCTCGCTCTCCCCAGGGATACCTTAATGTCTGTATAATATAACATAGTATAGCTCTATCTCACTCGCAATATGCATCCCTATTTACAGCCTGCTTTGTGACTAAAACAATTACTTACTACTTACTAGTTGTTTTTGCTAAGGCAAGCATTAATATTACTATTGCTCAAATTTAGGGTTAGGCAGTTTTGTTCAAATCCTTAAGTACCTGCACCATTTATGCTACTTAAAATCAAATAGATTTACACCGAAGGAGGACCTGAGTCATATGTAGAGACCAGAATATCATAGACTTGGGCGTGGGCTACACACACACACACAAAAATAAAATTACCCAGAACACCTTAGTAACCGCAGATTGGAAAAGCACCAGTGATACCCTAGCATTGTGGTGGCACGTTTTATATGTAAAAACAACACTTACGTTTTATTTTCTAAGTTATCTTGCTTGAGGCTGACACCAAGTAAATATTGCCTGAGATGTTTCGCTGACAACAACACAGATGACATGGCGTATCCGATTTTTCGGACTTCCCCCTCATAAATCCTCTCAGTGCTTTTATCTCTGTTTTGTTCAACAAAAGTTGTGGGATTTCCGTGTCACAGTGATTGTATATTAACCTTCTGTCACGACTGTCACGCCACGTTATGTTTAAATGAGAACTGGCAATGTAACAACCAGTCCTAATAGGGATGTGCGATATGCATAGTCTACGATAATATTGTAATTGTTGTTTTAACAATGTGGTATGTCAGTTATTTTGCAAAAAAACAAACACATTGAGAGTCCAAACATTCACTATCAGCGCAAATGTGATACCGATTTTACACATTTAAGTAATAGCATAATTAAAAAAATTTTTTTTATACCAGTTATATTATTACATAACAGTTCAATAAACAAGTAGTTAATAGTGTTAAATTTTAGACTTTTTTTTTGCAATATTTCGTCAACAAAAATAGTTTCAAACAAAGCCACGCAACAAACAGAAGTGTTTCTTTCCTGAATAATCAATTTTTTTTAAAGAATCAATATTTTAGTGATCTATTCATAAAGATAAGTCACTTGATTTGTTCCTGAATGAATCAGCTGTTCGAATGAAGCAAGTGAATGAATGATTCAACGACTCACTCATTAAGTCAATGGCTTGCAGCCACCTACTGGCGGTTTTAGATTCATGCTTAAAGTATCCTTTCATTTAAAAAAGATTATTATTTCAATATATTTTTTTCATATATTTTTAAATATTAATCCCAAAGCATTATTTATGCAATTGTAATTGCAGTGTAAATACCTCTAAATGCCACTTTAGATGCAGCTTTTGCACCACTTTAGCACTGCAAAAATTAATTTTGTTGATAATAATTACATTTTATTAGTACCAGCCTATAGTGTCTTACTATTCAAACTTAATTTATTGACTAAATGTAAGAATTTGACAAAAGATGATGCATACATAGGCTAGGCTAGAAAAAGCATCATAAAAGTAAAAAAGCTCCTGGAGGTGGCAAATGTCACCCCCTAAGCAAAAGTTAATTTATGTCGATTTTTTTCAAATGATCAACAAAATTCCAGAAAAAAAATTGATATTTCATTTTTTGTCAATATCACACACCCCCAAGTCCCACTTGCATCTTTTCTCACCTGCTTGATCAGCATGTAGGTCTCGGACATGATCTTCTCGATGCGCCGCAGGTCATAGGTCATGCCCTTCTGGCCTTGCTGCCACACCCTGTACGCATCCAAAAGCAGCGTCTTGCCCGACTCCACGTCATCCAACAGTTTCCTCTTCCTGCTGGGTCTCTGCTGTAGTGCCACCTCAGGGGTACTGGCTAGAGGTGTGGGGTTGCTGGCTGTTGGTGTTGTGACCATACTAAGTGCTCCTTTAGCTGCGTTCACCTGATTCTGTAGCTGCTGCTGTTTTGAGCTAATGCTTAACTCCTCCAGTGACAGCTCCGACGCCCGACTGCTCTCTGGGACCTTATCGGCCTCCTCTGCCGCCGATTTAACCACCACCTGCTCCTGTGGTCCAGTTTCAACAGGTGTTTGAGGGTCTTTGAATATTGAGGCACCTGGCCATGATCCCGGGCCAAGCTCCATAGGCTCTATAAGTCCTGAAGTACCTTCTCTGGGGTGAACGGCGGACACTGTCGCCTGATTTAAAGGCTCCAGGGAGAGCTGAAGAGTGGCTGAACATTGCTGAGGCATACCAGGAGGTCCGGTCTCACTTCCTGAGTCCTTAGGGGTGTCGGGGAGTCCTGCTTTAGGCTGGGTGGTGTGGGAGCATTTGGGGTCCTCCACAGCAGGAGGTTGGTTGGACACATCCGCAGTGGTCATTTCACCCATAGAGGTGGCAGACGGTTTAGGGGGATCACTTACCTGAGAAAGAGAATGACACGTATATAAAAATGGCTAATTTTGATTCTGCTGACAGAAAACAAGACGTATGCTAATATATTATGATTAGTGCAAACTAAAGAAGCTGTGACACTAGGAGTGAGGAAGGAAAATTTTCTGCACAACTGGATCTGGTTTAATTCACAATGTAAAATGTCTACAGAAAGAAGCTCAGACACGAAGATGAGCGAAGCTATCACTCTGTTCTTCAAGCAGTTGGGATGGCATTAACTAACGTGTTAGCACAAACATAAGCGTATCCTTGGCTGTCAGATCTTAGTTCCCAAACATGGCAGTGTCTCCATAGGAAAAACATGCTACCAAGGCCACTGATCAGCTTCTATTTACATATATAAAAAAAAAAACACACACACATATAAAACAAAAACAAACAAAAAAATTAAATTAAATAAAAAAATAACAAAAAAGTAAAATAAAAACCTTCTAAAACCAAAACAAGGCAAAACACAAAAACAAAGTTACATTTAAAAAAAGAGGCAAACATACACACAAACAAAAAAACAAAACAAAAGTAAAATCTTATAAAAACCTAAACAAATTAAAAAAGAAAACAAAATAAAATAAAAAACAAGAAAAACAACAATGAAAACAAAATCTTCTAAAACAAAACAAAACAATATATATATATATATACACATATAACAAAAAGGAAAACAAAGGGCGAATTCCAAACGGAAGTGAACATCCTTATGCCCTACTCCCTTCGAAGTGTGAAGTGTGTTCTTTGAAGGGTGCAGGGCATTACTGTCTCGTATAAGCGTTTGGAACTCCCTCGACGAAGGGAATGTCTGACCAAATGTTACCTTGACAACGCTGCGCGTGCGTGCAGCATTCAGCACTCCATCAGTTGTTGCAAATAAATATTTATTACTATTATTATTTTATTCAAATATTGTCTAATTGTGTCTTATTTACTATTAAACGTTTTCAAACTAAACTTGCTTACACTACCGTCTTAAATCATATTTCTATCACTGACGAAAAATAATGTCTTACATTAAATTAGACAAATTTAATTAGCCTATTCTATTTATGTTTGTATGTGAACTCGAAATCAACCCCAACTTTGCTTTAAAAAAGCATCACAAGATCTCCTAACCAAAGATCACATGATC